ACAGGTTGTTAACTTGACCAGTTGTCTCAGGTTGAGAGAGTTTGATTTAATTCGCTAGAGTTAAATGCACTTTATATGGTTTACTTTTCTTACAAAGATAATACTTGAGGTGCAGGATAAACCTCTTGCTGTCTGTCGACGTGCAATAAATATAGAAAGTTACGTACAAACACCTGTCTGGTCTACTCATTTCAACTGACTTGTGAAAACTGTTTTTTTTAAAAATCCAAATTCTTTGACATATAGCAACTTTTTTTTAACAGTAACGCAAATAGTTACTTTCCCTGGTAACGAGTTACTTTTATTATAGAGTAATTCAGTTACTAACTCAGTTACTTTTTGGAACAAGTAGTGAGTAACTATAACTAATTACTTTTTTAAAGTAACGTTCCCAACACTGAGCTTCAGACATCACGTCCATGGACCGTTAGCTAAAGCACACAAAATGGGAAACACTTGGGATGTTTTTAAGTCGTCATCTGGTTGGTTGAATTAGACGTGTGGCGCGTTCTTTAACGGTCCGCTTGGAAAGCAGTAATGATGCCAAACCTCCTCATGGTAGAAGAAAGCCGTTGAGTTTACAACTGTGACAATAAGCTTAATAGTGTCAACTAAACTCTGGATTTTCAAAAATATGTAAAGTTCGTGGCTCCATTGTTGCAGTAAACTTGCACAACATTCTTGAATGAATAATTTAATAGATTCAATACGGTCTGTATTGTAAGGACATTTACTTTACATTTTCACGCCCCTAAACATGATGCGGAACAAAGCGATCTGTGATTGGTTGCTTTACATGTAAGATGGCCTATTGGGCAGTCTTTGGCCAATAAAAGCTGCAATGCAGTCCAGACCTTCTGCTGTCAGTCTGAAGGTCTGGCTACGCAAGACTAGATGCATCCTAGCTGGGGAAACATGTGGATTTAAGTAGTGTGTATAACTATCAAAGAAATGGACTATAGAAACTGACCTTTACGTTAGATATTTGTGTCTGTATAAATCTTTCAATTAGGTGGATAATATCAATTTATTAATGTAATTCCTTCAACACAATTGAAAGATGAAACTTACTGAAACTCTTGAGCTCGCACGGACACGTTCCACAAACTCCTTCTCTTTCTTTGCTACCTCGCGCTGAACTTTCTGGAAAACACCCAGTGCGTTGGAGAATTCAGTGATGAGACGCTCTCGCTGGATTTTTCTTTGCCGCTGTGTAAGAAGAGAGGAACGTCACATTTGAACTGTACTGGTATAGGTATAGTTCACCCAAACATTTTTATTTGGTAAAGTCAATGGTAACCAAAGCCATTTAGTTATCAACATTCTTCAAAATATATTCTTTTGTGTTCCACAGAATAAATAAAGTCATACAGGTTTGGAACAACATGAGGGTAAATAAATGATGACAGAATTTACAATTTTGGGGTGTACTGTCCCTTTAAGTTAATACTGTCATATGTCAATGTTTAAGCCCTATCCCAACACTGAATATTTGTATTTCTTTACTTATAAATTAAATAACTTTTTTTAAATAACTTGGTTGACGACTTGGAATTTACCTCGGAAGTCAACTCTTTCAGAGTACACTTCCTAGATATGTGGGTACAGAAGAATGAAGGAAATTTGATTACAACTTTGTTTACGAAAGAGACTGATCGCAACATACATTTGCTCGCTACCAGTTTTCTATCCGACTGTTTTAAAAAAAGGACTGCCTAAGAGTCAGTTCTATAGATTGAGGATAATTTGTTATTCTGATTCAGATTTTATTGAAAAATCGAATATCATGAAAAATAAATTTTTAGATAGGGGTTACCCTTCAGAATGGGTTGATGAAGCATTTAATACATCATTTCAAAAGACATGTTCTGAGTTGCTAAAAAAGAAGACAAAAAAAAAGTAAAAAAAGCATTCTTTTATTATTAATTATTCCACTCATGTTTTTTTATTTGATCCATTGTCCTTGTGGTTTAGGTTATGTGGGAAAAACGTAACGTCAATTAAAACAAAGAATTAGTGAACAAAAGAGTTCTATCGGAAGAAAAGATGCCCATAATCCAGTTGCGATGTTTTTGTGGGATTGAAAAAGTGAGTGTGCCACCTAGGGGGCGATATTGAATTGCTCTTACAGAGACGTGAACTGTTTCGGATTTTTACCCTTCAGACTTTAATCACCTAGGGGTATGAATGATGAAGTATTATTTAATGTGATGTTATAAAAGTTTTTTTTTCTTCCCCGAACTTTGACATTATTAACAATTATGTTTGTAACTGTTTATGATGATGTGGTGTTAATTATGTATCCAGTCATTGAGCTTAATTGGTTACAAATGGATCTTTACGTTGATTGGTCATGTGATTATTTTATAGTTGATAGTTTGAATAGTTGTATATGCCTGATGAAGGTCGTGAGACCAAAACGTTGCTAATACAATTTTGATACTCATTTGCAAGTACTAATAGTGTGCGGGAGTTCCTTGTTTTTTGTAGATTTTTTGACCTACTTAGTTGGTCTTTTTTCCCCCACACACCTATCACCTGCAGGTGTGCGATGGTGTTTGGTAATTGATATACTTATAAATCAGAAAGTTATGGACGCTGAATGTTCGACCATATACAAATTCTACAATACAAAAGTCTATTTAAGTGCTTTCATAGCAATTATTGTATGTATATGTGGTGAATATGAGGTAATACAGTTAATATAACAGTTGATTATAGACAGTTTGATTTCTGTACCTGTTCTGGGGTCACAGGTAAAGAGCTGAAATCTTTCATGTATTTATCTGTCACTTTAGCAAGATGATTGACATTCTGCTGTTTCTCCTGTCTGTATGTTTTGACAAATAAAAACAAATATATTTGCTTTTACATATATAACTGTTTTATTTGTTTTATGCGCATGATAAATTAAAGGGAAGGGAACTGGCTGCTTGTATTCAACTCACAATGTTTGTCGCAGGATAGTCGTGTCTTGTGCTGTTCCAAAATGTCTCATCATCTGCTGGATTTCATTAGCTGGTAAAAAAAAAAAAAGGCAAGACCTAAACAAACTGGATAACCACTTTTAAGCACACCTCCCATGCTATTGGGTTATGTAAAAGTGTGTATTATGGTTTTTCATAACCATCCATTTATTATTGATTCCTCTATACTTGATTTTACATGTTGTGGTTAGTACATGTAGATTTTCTCATTAAACTGCATAACATAAATATGGCGAACATTTATGTGCAATGCACACTAACTTCACAAGTAGGCTAACTGAAGTTGTGACAACAGAAACCAGACAATTAACTTTTCCGGCAGGGTTAAACACCCATGAAGACTAGTCTAGACATAATGTAGTAGTTTAAAATGGTCTTGTTCCTTGCAAGGACTGAATCAGCAGTTTTCTAGTTAGTTTTAGGCCAAAATGGATGCTTATTTAAAATGTATTTAGCAAAATCAGTGATTCAAACTCACACTTTTTATGTAACATTTATGCAAACAGTCCACACATCACACAAATAAAGAGGTATTGAGTAAAATTGACTCACTCAGCAGTGTTATTCTCTGGATATTTGAACTTATATTGTGTGCCAGCAAATTTGCATCAACTCCACTTGACCCAGACATGATGGAGATCACAGAATGAGTCACCAAACCTAGAAAGATTACGAATCACATTAACATTCAGGCATAGGGATACTATCTCTTTTTCTGTATGAATATATAGTAGCTATATATTGATATATAAAACATTGCATAATATAATTTTTTCACATATATTGCTTTAAAAAAGGTTGCTTTGTGAATTCTGTCCTCCAATAACATTCAAATGTATGCTATAGTTCATACATTCATACAAGAGTATAATGAAGATTTTAACTGAAATGTAGAATTTTTCATAAATGTCATGCCGGGACAAGCGGATACAAATTGTTTGATATTTTATCATAATGATTTTACAGTTGACATGTTTCTATAAAGCCTAATGTGTTACTTCATGGTTCCCATTGTGACAACTTACCCCATATAGTGTGACTACGTGCCTTGCTTTACTGACATACCAGTTATCAGTTCAATAATGATTCGAAAAAAAAAAGCTAGAATAGTGTTGTTTACGTTAGCAGGCTAACTAGTAATGTTTACGACCTCCGCACCTGCAAAACGAAAGAATGCGGAAATCACAGCGCCCAAACTCACAAACACATTCATTTATAAAATAGACAGTTTCTATATTTACTGACGCACACCAAACATACACCAAGAAATGTCAGGAAAATGAAATTGTCGAATTGTTAAATTAATGTTCAGATCACGAGCTGTCAAAGACTTTCACATTGAATGAACTTCAGAACCAGCGACGCTTGTTGATCTCTTCACTGACTTTTCCCCGTAAAATTACTCTTAATTAAGTCAACACACTTGCACTGTGTATAATGACATCCCTTTTACTTTGATATGTACTTTCGATGTTCAGTTTACCTGGATTTCCTGAGTGAAACTCCGAGCCCTCAGCTGATTCTTGACGCCTTAGTAGTCACGTGATTTCTGTTCAATCTTCCGCGTGCGTTCCACTGATCTATATCTGATCTATATAATGACATTCTAGATCAGTGATGCGTTCAGGAACATGTAGGCTACTACATATTTTCAGTCGCAAAAATTTGATAGCTATCTCTAAATGTCACGTACCTTAGTTAAAAAATAAATCATAACTTGTTCTTGTGTGTTTTTTTGTGGGCAAACTAGTTAGCAAATAGGAAGCAGACTTTAATATGATGTTATTTCCACATGTTAATTAGGCTATTCATCATTAAAATTAACAAAGACAGTTACAGCACTCTTCACACTCTAATATCACCTAGCTATAATTTCTTTTATTTTTGCGAATTGTCATTCTAAACAAAGAGAATGAAGGATGTATAAAGATTGAAGATAATTTTTTTTATTATCAAAAGGCCAATAATCACCAATGCAAACATATTTTTGTAACAAATACATGCATTTTCATATTAACAGTCTTCAGGAAACAAGTTAAACTGGTTAGTTGCTGTCTGAAGTAATTTTAGGCTAACAATAAGCTTCACTGACCTTTTGAAGACCTTTTGAAGATATTGCATATATAAATGGATTAATGCATGAATTAGCGTAAAATACACACAGTAAAGCAGAGACGCTCAAAGATGACTTTTGAAATTGTTTGATATTAAGCATACCTATATACCAGGGAACCCAGCAAATGAAATACACAAAGACAATTGTGCTCAATGTTTTTGTTGCCTTCACTTCTGATTTCCTGGAGGATTTTAGATTTTTCTGAGAGACTCTTTTCTTTTTAAAGTTGGAGATGGATTTTACTTGTCTCAAGGCCACTGCGAGAATTCTTACAGACAGGATTAATATCGCTATACACGGAGCAATGAAGCTCACTATCAAGTCGGCTGAACCCCAGGCGTTGCTGACAGCGACTGCACATTCTCTAAAACAGATCACAGTTGTCCCTGTCAGGTTATAGTTTCCAAAATTCACTGATACAAGATTATAAAAGATGGATACAGTCCATCCTAAACTTATGCAGATCAGTGTTTTTCTCATTGTCATTTTGGATACAGGAGTGGATCACACACAGCAAAATAACGATCAATAGCCACAAGAATGATGTTGATGAGGGACACAGACACAAGAATGGACATAATTATATGAAAGATACGACAGTGCGACTTTCCCATATAAAAACACGAGTTAATGCTCCTGACGCTTTCAACCGGCATCACACAAATTCCCACCAAGAAGTCAGATACAGCCAGTGAGAGGATGAGGAGGTTGGTCGGTGAATTAAGCTGCTTGAAAACTGTTATAGAGATGATGACAAGTAGGTTTAGTAGTACTAGTAGTAGTAGTAGAAAAACAATACATTGACATTATTTAAATGAAAGTCAAAAGAGCAGCTTGTATTCCAGAAGGGAAAGCAGTGATACTCAAAATATTCCATGGAGAAAGTCTTCACTGCTTTAAATTCAATGCCCATGTGATATGACTGCAGATCCAAAATCCTAAAGATGGTTTCACTGCCAGTTTGCTTATATAAGTCAAATGACAGGTGTCGTTTATGGGAGTGACCAAGAATTGTAAGCATTCTACAGTTATGAGAGTTTACAATTATCATACAACAACTACAATCTATATATATGTATCAATCTTATATTATGTCATGTTGATTAAAAAAAAAGTAATATTGCAATTAAAATTGAATCCCCCTGTTTCACAGACAAGGCTTTAAAGAGATGGTTCACCCAAAAATTAAACTTCTGTCATCATTTATTCACCCTCAAGATGTTCAAAACCTGTATGAATTTCTTTCTTCTGATGAACACAAAAGAAGATATTTTGAAGAATGTTGGTAACCAAACAGTTTATGGGCCTCATTGACTTCCATATTTTTTTTTTCTCCATACTATGGATGGAAGTTAATGAGGCCTATAAGGCCTAATCCTGGCCTAATCTAAACCCTGTCTGTGAAACCAGGCCTATACAATTTGTTTTGGATTTACTTATTGTGCTCTTTGATACATAATTGCAATTTAATTCTTGAATATTCCTTCCTAATAGAAAGGACTAAGACACACAGACAGACACACAGGCACACAGACACACAGGCACACAGACACACACAGAGACACACACACAGACACACACACACACACACACACACACACACACACACACACACACACACACACACACACACACACACACACACACACACACACACACACACACACACACACACACACACACACACACACACACACACACACACACACACACACACACACACACACACACACACACACACACACACACACACCTGCTACTTATAACAAAATGAGCTATTAGCACTATAATAAGAAAGCAGGGGGTCACAGTCTTCTTAATTTTTTTTAGATATTAGAATTGTTCGGCTACTTGATTTCATTCTTTATAAAACATAAAAGGTAAATATATTTTTTTGTGAATATCTGTTCACTTTCATCAGTGCATGATATTTGACATTATATAAAGCTTTTACAGTTTTTTTCCATCGCTAAACGACAGTGAGCACAACTGGAGCTACATGTGCAAAACTCTAACTACAGTCTGCACAGCAGCAGTTCATGTGGACCAAACACTAGTTCGTCTTTCAGTGCTTGAACACAGTTTTCAAAACTCTACACACTTATCCCATGACTTTAACCACAACCTGCACAACACTGTGGATTTACAGCACTTTGTTCAAATGCTAACACACTGCTGTCAAAACTGTGAACCATACATTCAAAACAGAATAGATTTCAGCTTTGTGCCTTTCAAACACTGCTAAGCAGGTGTCTTGTTTTAGACTTGTTAGTGAACACACGTAAATATATATATATATATATATATATATATATATATATATAGGTAGAGCTCAGAAAGACTAATTTTGGAAATGGAACAAGGAAGACGGGTTCGTGGAGGGAGAAGGGTGGCAGGGAGAGGGCGGGTTCGTGGAGGGAGACAAAGAAGACAAAGAGCTGTTATTTCAGATTAAATAAGGGCTACACTTATAGACCATGTCGTGAACCATAGGGTTGAGGGTGCAACCCAATCTGCAAAGATCCACAGTGGCATCTGTAATGCGAATTTTCCATCATACAAACAGGTGAGAGTTACATCCTTACAATAAATAAAAGCATTACAGGAAATTGTTTTGTATTGCAATTATAGAATATTTACACAGATATAGAGGAAGGAATGTTATAGGTCAAAGGGCCACTGTGGAGGTTCCAGGCCAAAGGGGGGGAAATATCACCATGTGTGCTGCAATGGCCAATGATGGTTTGCTTCTCAACACACCACTCATTGGCTCATACAACACAGAAAGGCTTATAGCTTTCCTAGAAGAGCTATATGCTCAGCTAGTGCCAGCAGAACAAGGGGAGCCAGTAAGAAACCCCCAAGTTTTTTTCATAGTTTGCGATAACGTTGCTTTTCACCACTCTGCAGCTGTCACAGATTGGTTTGCAGCACATCGCAGATTTATGATTTTGTACCTGCCTGCATATTCACCCTTCCTCAACCCAATAGAGGAGTTTTTCTCTGCCTGGAGGTGGAAAGTGTTTGATCACCACCCACATGACCAAATGTCTCTTTTGGAAGCCATGCGTGCCGGATGTGAGGCCACGAGTCCAGAGGACTGCCAGGGATGGATAAGGCACTCCAGAAGGTTCTTCCCCAGGTGCATGGCAAGAGAGAACATTAGATGTGATGTTGACGAAAACCTGTGGCCTGATGCTAGAGAGAAGCAGGATTAGCCCCTCAATTATTTGTTAGAATTACAGTATGTACTTTTAGTTTCTACCTTTTTTCTCATTACTGTAATTCCGTAAATTACCGTACTACAGACTATTGAAGCAAACTGCTAATTTTCATTTACCCTTAAAGAATTGTTAATGTAAATAAATCATGTGAAAGAAAGTCAATCTTTTCATTGAAGAAAATATTACTTTCTATGAAGTCACTGAAATTGTTCAAATTGTAAAGATGAAAAGTTAGTATTTTCTGTATTGGTGTTTGATGCTAGTGTTTTTTCCCTCAGTGTGTTCTGAGTGACAGTGTGTGTTATCTCAGTGAGGGTTGTGCATAGTGTTTGTCTGCATGAGCCTGTTTTGAGCCATGTGTTAAGAGTTGTGTTGCTTGGAATGCGTTTTGCAGGTGATGTGAACTGTTTAGCTCAGGTGACTGTTGGTAGTGCAGACTGTAGTTAGAGTTTTGCACATGTAGCTCCAGTTGTGCTCACTGTTGTTTAGCAATCGAAAAAAACTGTAATTAAGCCTATTTTGTTGAGCTTATATGTTTTCACTTCATGTGGCCAAGTGGGCATATATCCACTTGTGACACATTCATCTAACCTGAACTAATTTGAACCACTTTTGTTTGTCGATGTTGAAAACTTGGAACCCTGACTTGTGATACAGGCCACTAGTTGGAATGACTAATTTATCTTTGCCAGTTTATTTGTTCATGATTTTAGATCAAGATCACCCTTTAATCTTAAATTCTAAACAGAGATCACAACATACCTCTCGTGTCTGTACTGTACTGGTGTCTGCGCTGTCTCAAGTCGGACAACATTTTTTAACCGGCTTGCACTGCTTCAAGTCAGCCGCTGATCGGTCTGCGCATCACTGTATGCAGTCGGACGTATGGCAAACCCTTTTAACATTTAAAAGCTAAGTTTGACTATCGGGAATTAACATTGTAGATATTAACAACGTCTTTCTGAATAGTCGTAATTACATTTTGGATAGTTGGAATTGTCATTCAAGATATCTGTAACGTAATTGTAACTAGTCGAAACAACAGATAGAGTTCCCTTTCGAGTACAGTCACTTTGTATTGCGTAGCTAATACGCAGTGGGAAACTCCTTTTCCTCGAAATATTGAAGCTTTAATTTAAAACGCAGTGCAGCACAGTGAAACGCAGCAGAGCGTCTAGCTCACTCATTGGCTGTGCTGCGGCAACTGCACATCCAATGGCTGAGGGCCTCTGAACACGCGACCAATCAACTGACTTGGCCCCGACTACGTCAGAGCGCGCCTAAATGGCCGTTGTCATGGCTATGTCTCTTCTGCTTTTGTTATTAGTTCTGTGTGGTGACAGAGCTATGACATTTCCTGTCTGTCTTGTGTTTATGTTAGTCTAGTTTCATGTGAGCACATGGTTCTTGACTATTCCTGTGCCATGTGCTTTCTGTCTAATTGTTAGCTCCTCCCTTCTCGTTATCTGCTTAGTATTAACATTCCTCACCTGTTGTCTCGTTACCCTCCTGTGTGTGTTTCCTTTATAGCTTCCTTTGTGTTTTTGGTCCAGTGCTGGTTCGTTTGTCTAAGTTCCTGTTTCTTGTTCCTCGTGTTTTTGCCTTGGTAGTATTTGTTCTGGTTTTTCCCCCATGTGGGAGTTTTGTTTGTACTTTGTATTTTGTTTGTTTGGTTAATTAAAATCTTACCTTTGTTTTCCTGCAATTGAGTCCTCGCTTATGTTTCCTAATTATCCCGTGACAGCCGTGGCCTAAGCCTATAAATATCGCTCATTTTGGCCAAAATACAGATTTACTCAACTTCAGCGACACTTCACGTCTCTGAGTCCTCACCTAAGCTTTTCGCCGTTGAACCAAGCCAGAATCAGCCAGAGCAAGCATTGAAAACAGCGGACAACGCCTTTAACTTACCCTGATTAGCCGCTCCTCTTCTGTCGCTGCTCTCTTGTGGCCATACGGCGAGACAACGCTACATATATCCTTTTACTACTGCTGTTGTGCTCGCGCTGCGATACTCAGCTTTTGTGAAAGAGCAAATTTCTGACGAGGCGTTGTTTCAAATGCCTCGTTCATCTTGCACCTTGTGCGGAGCTCGTCTACACAAGAATGATGGTCACGCGGAGTGTGCCAGGTGCCTGGGACCCACCCACGCTGAAGCTGCACTCTCTGCAGCGGGCTGTTCTCACTGCGAGAGCCTGCCCATCTCAACGCTAGGGATGCAGTTAGCTCTTTATCGGATGACAAACACGACAGCCTCTCCATTGCTGCATCTGAGGAAGAGTGGTCGGGCTCGGTGGACCCTGCCCTCGCACAGTCCTGTGCTAGCGCTACAGCTAAAGCCACGAGGACTAATTCGGACGCCGAAATGCTGCGCATCCTCACTGCCGCCGTTTCAGACCTCGGTCTCGAATGGGCCTCACCGGAGGAGCCGTTCAGGAATCGGCTGAATGGTTGGTTTCTGCAAGGCCCCCCACCACAAACCAGCGCCCTGCTTCCCGGAAGTTTACGACGAACTCGCAAAGTCATGGCGCGCGCCATACTCAGCTCGCACGAGCGCTTCCGCTATGCTCTCATCTGTCGACGGCGCAGTGGAGAAAGGACATGAGAAGTTGCCGACGCTCGATGAAGCAGTCGCCGCCCACCTGTGTCCACC